CTGTGCGTCCCTTCCTAATCGCTCCCCGGGCACGGAGCCTGCGTTCTTTACTTCCTGCCCCTAACTGACCCCTGACCTGGAACTATCTGTGTTTAGGCCTGGAGCGGTGTGTCCAAGGGTTTTGCCGAGAGCCTGCAGCCAGACTACAGTGAACGGCTCTGCCACGTCAGTGAGATTCCCCCCAAAGCGGGGGCCCTAGGGGAGGGGCCTGGGGGCTCCCCCACGTTACACCCTTAAACCCGAAGCCTGAGCACTGGTACCTTGACAGAAGCCCAAGATCCTGTACTCCTAAATTGTACCGACCTCCCCCTGTCCCGCCAGCCTGGGTCCAGTACTGGTCTCACCCCCGCCCCATGGCTGATTTTGAATTCTGTGCCCCTATGATTGCCCCCTCATCCAATATGTCCCCCCCCCGAGAATTGTCCCTTTGCCTCGTACGTGTTTCTCGACTCCCTCCCTCCCTGCAAATCTATGAAAAATAAAGTACCTATTGATAATCACCGAGAATGTGTGTCCTCTGGCGGGCAGGGGGCAACGGAAACGCGGCGGGGGGCGTGGTGCTGAGGGCAGGAAGGGGTAGCAGACCCCCGCTGTGGAGGCAGTAACACTGCAGATTAGCTCCAAACAAGTGCTCTTCCAGAAACGTACTTTTCTCTGGGCGTCCTACACTCCTCCTGGGGGCCAGTCCAGAGTTCGATTTGCCACGCTGCCCCTCTTCCCCACACAGCCTTTCAGACACCAGCCAGCTTCTCTCCTTGTCCTCGCTCCACCTTCTGTCACACATGCCACTTCTGACATCATAATCCCTCAGCTGCAGCCTCCGGCCCCACCCCTGGGGATGCTGGTCATCCACAGCTGCCACTAGCTCTCCTCTGTCTGTCGGGTCTGGGCCTCTTGAGTCAATGTGATCCATCTGCCTGTCCGGTCGGCCAACTCCATGGATGCGTTTGCCCCACCGCGGCCTCAGGAGCGCCCTCCCTCTCCGTGACCTGTCAGGCCTCTCCAAAGAGTTAGATGCTGAAAGCATGTTTGCCTTCATCAAACATGGAGGTGAGGGGCATCGCAGAGCCGGGAAGGTTCGTGGGCCGTGGAGATCACGGGCACGGTGTAACTAGAGGAGGACCACATGTCCCGTGCCATCTCTTCTCAGATAATCAGCAGTTTCTGATCAACACCAACTGCACTGTCCATGTGTTGCTGCTTTATATCCGCGGTAAACTAGGGTTGGCTAAAACAGGTGAGGAGATTGGGGAGGGGGCTGATGGCCAAGGGTCAGAAGTAGCAGGGTCATCTCTAGCCCCCAAACCCTCCAGTTGGCAAGAAGAGAGCTCCCTGAATGCTGACATCTCCCTGGGACGTGCTCCGGGTGGGATCACGGGCCCCTCGCGCTCTCGCTGTCCTTTCTGCCCCGATTACCTGGCGGCCTCCCTCCAGAAACCATCGATCTGTGTGACGAAACGGGGGCCATGAAGTTGTTCTTCCTGATGAAGACCCCTGGAGAATATGCCAGCAAATTCCTTACTGCTCGAAACACCTACCACGTTTGTAGGGTGACGCGCGGGGCACCAGGTAGAGGCTTGGGGGCCGTCGGGACGGATTGTGGGCCTTGTCCTTAAAATAGGGCCCCCTCAACTAGACGCACTGACCATCTCTAGTCAGCATAAGAAGGGGCACTGCCTCCGTGACAACAGGTTAGGTTCACACATACCACGGCCCCCACACGGGCCTACGGATGGACCCTGGGGGGAGAAAATCAGTACACCAGTTCAAGGTCGTGCCGAGCGTCAGGGCCCTGAAATCTTGGGCGATCAGGAAGGGTGGGGACGGGGTGACGGGGGCTGTGAACAGCATATTGCTGTTCACAGGATCCCGACTTGAGAATGCCTACCTAGCTTTTGTGCCCTTCCTGAAGAATCCAGGACATGAGATGCTGGGTAAGGGGCGTGACGGAGGAGAAGGGAACACGCAGAGCACTGTACATCACCGGTGACAGCGAACGTGGGGTGGCACTGCTGTAACACAGCAGGCGGGGGCACGGGATCCTGGGAAACGCGTGAGGGGGTCTCAGTCCGCTCTAGGGGGATGTTGAGCTGAAACCAGGTGGAGGGTGCGTGTGTCGCTCCCCTTCCCCTCCATTTGTCACCTTCCCTATCGGACTCATCTGTCCCCATCGAACGATGGGAGGGATGGGATGGGATGTGTACGTCAGGTCTCTAGTCCCCAGAGGTGGGGGTGCCGTTTCCTGGTTTCTAGATTCCTTACGCACGCAATGTGACATGCTGGAGAAAAACCGGGTGAAAATGCTGAAACTCCAAGAAGCCGCCAAGAAAGTCGTTCCCGTTGAATCCACTGTGACCCTTCCGGTAAGACTCCCCCGATCTGGTCTGTCCCGCCAGCCACCCGAAGGCTCCTCTGGGATGAACCCCCTTTCCAAATCCAACATCTACGCCCAAGACCTGCCTTGCACCCCTTTTCGTCCCGCTTTTTGGCCCCGGTTCGTGGAAAATCTTCCGTGCAGGGACCTCTTTGTCTTACTGACCCTTCCCTTTTGCAGACCAAACCATCTGGAAAATCAGATGAAGACGGACCGCCCCCGCGCAGGAGTCCTTTCTATAAGACAAGAGCGGACTTTCTCACTAGGAGGGAAAGACAAAGGCTGAATAAATAGTGACCAAGTGAGAGCAGCAAGGAGACCGGCGGAATTGAACGTGAGGTTCCTTTTTCAAGGGCAACTCCTTGTCCCAATATCTGCACCAAGGCTTAAGTACGCCCCAGGCCCGGCGGGCGGGCGGGTGGCATGGCGCAGAGGGCTGGGGCGAGCACGTGGGCAGACGGTGAGGAAAGACTGGGAAAGACTGGGAAGTCTGCTACAATGAGTCTTTGAGGGTCTGGGAGCAGAGTAGGGGGTGGGGGCCTTTCTGAGCAGACTACCTCCCCCTGGGAGGCCCATCCCAGCCCGCCTACTGCTGGGGTGAGGTGGCAGACTGGCGGGCGGCCCTCCCCCACCATACCTCCCTACCTCCCCGCGGCCGAAATCCCCCCCGGCCCCACCTCTCCGGCTCTGGACGATCCCTCCTGCCGGCCCTTTGCCCTTCCCCCTCCCTCCCCCTGTCTGAGGTGGGCAGTAAGGCAGCAGAAACCAGAGCTGGTTATAGGCATTTATTGAATTTATTCATTTATTGATTTGACACACTTCCCTACTCCAATCTAGCACATGATACAATCAGGGTAGGCCGGGCGCTGACACAGGAAATGATGGGAACCCACAGCAGGGCCGGGGGAGGGCACAATGCAAAGGGGACCAGGGGAGGGGCTGCTTTGGGGGCTGGGGTGGAGGAGCCCCAGATGGCCTCCCTGGCAGGTGCTAGTAAACCTGATCCACATTCCCCTTCATCCCGCTCATTTCCCAGACCCTCAGCCAAGCTCCCCAGCTCCCCCTCCTCTGTCCCGCCCCTCCCCCTGCCTGCCACCACACACACTTCCACATAACCCCTGTAGTCAGGCAAGGGGAAGAAGGGCAGGGACAGCTGTCAGGGGCCTTGAACAGGGAGGTCTCTGTGCCTAACTTTACCACCCTAAATCCTGCCCTCCTTCTCTTCCCGCTCCCCCCCTTCCCAGGCCGCAAACTCATTCCAGACTCTCAATGTACTCTCCAGCCATAGCGCTAACCCCCAAAGGGTCATGCGAGAGTGTGGCTGCGTCCCGACACCACACGCTCCCAGGCACAAGGTGACAGAATGTGAGGGAAACGCTGAGCAAGCAACTCCGCGGCGCCCCTTGCTCAGTGCTGCTTCCCACTGCTGCTCCCCCGCTCTGTGTGTCCCCAGTAATATCTGTAGTGTTTGCATTTGCAACATGTCGCTGTGAAAGAAAAAAAGCATTCTCCCCATCACTAGCACCTTGCCACTATTAAAAATCTCTATGTTTGTGTTTATATTTCTTTAAAAGTTTATAAAAAAAAAAGCCTGTTATCTGCAGCCTTCCGAGGGTGATTTGGCCCGGTGAGCCACTCCAGT